TAAAATGCCCCATCTGTCATTTTTGGCCGTTTTGAATTACTAATACCAAGAAGTCAGAAACCATAATATATCCTATCTTCTCTATCAAAATAGTACGTTTATTCTGAGTTGTTATCGAGATATTCAAAGAATTGCATTTGCAAAATCTTGCAAGAAGTGTTGTGAAAATCAATTTTTTTACGTCAGATTTCTCAAAATTAGGTACTGAGCCGATAGAACTTCTAGGGCAGTGTTATGTTTTCCTCCAACAATTAATTACAGCGAAGATACTTGTTTAAAGTTAATCATTTGACAATCTTTGTCACTCTCTTGTGTACAAACATCTACCATAGTTCGCACAGAGGAGAGGCAGATAGGAAAATTGTCAACATCCCTGCAGGGTGGATGAAAACAGCTGTTGATCTCGCTCTAATACTCTAATTGCTGGAAGAAGCATCAGAAGTGTTAGCAAGGAGCACATCATCAGCTTTTCAACATTATACTGCGATAGTCCAACGTTCAGACGATCCAGTTACCGTTATACATGTCTGAGCTACATTATCATATCGACAAATATTCAGCGCTGATGAAGGGTTGTTGAAATATTACCTCCTAAAGGTGTCCAAACTGCGGTATGGTTTGTCGAGAAAACGATGTCAGTGTGAGAACTCTGGCATATGAATGATGTAGAATGCAGTCAGGAATGAGAAATCAGTGCCAGATCCCAGGAGAAAGAATGAACAACTTGGAGAAGACTAATCCTTCTCTAGCTTCATGGAGCGTTTTCTGGAGTTGTTGCTGAGAAGACCGGAGGGTACCCTTTGGTCAGATCTACCAGTTTTGATAAAGCAAAATTTCGATGCATTTTTCAATAACCTTATGAAGAAATTCCACAATACAACATCAGGCCGGAATACATATTAATGACATGAAACTGGCTCCTCTACTACTGCACTGTGCCAACTGTCCAAAGAGTTACTAATGATAGGTTGAGAAGGTGGTGACAAGGAAAAGCAAGTCGGGAAGGCTACTTCTAAGGAAAAGGATAACCTCGTCTCCCTATTAGGAACAGTCAACCAGCGTCTGTGGTGTAGCGGTTAGGGAGCTTCGCTGTCACACACAGGAGATCCGAGCTCGATTCAAGAGTGGGGAGACCATTTTTATCGAGTAATCCAGTATCTCAGTCTTTCTGCTGGAATGCTGGATAACTCTCATCCCGGGTTAGCATAGACAGGCAGGATCGGAAGCCCGCCTTCTAAATCATCATATTTGTGTTGATGGGGACGAAAAACACCTGTACATTAGATTAGTAAAAATCAGCGCCTGGAGAAAATCAATTTTTCTATTTGTGATTTCCTCTCATTCAATTCAAACGGGTACAATTGATTTTGTAGTTTGTACCCCAAGAACTGAGCCTTTCACAATTAACAGTATGACCAAAACCATGCCTTCTGATACAGATCGCAGCCCCAGGAACTTAATTACCCTTTCATTACCGAATCGAACTCATGTGTTCTAACAAGTCTTAAAATGTTCTTTTTTCCCGGGGGGGGTTGTGTGTGTGTGTGTGTGTGTGTGTGTGTGTGTGTGTGTGTGTGTGTGTGTGTGTATGTGTGTGTGTGTATGTGTGTGTGTGTGTGTGTGTGTGTGTGTGTGTGTGATTGTGTGTGTGCGGGGGGGGGGGGTATTTTTTTTACGGCGCTCCCAACTGCCAAAGGTCATTTGAGCGCGCGGGACATATTACACATTATTTTTTCAGTTGGTAAGAAATTTTGAATTTTGCGTGGATGACGGCCGAAGCCTACTCTTATCGATTTTAGTAAACACCCAGGGATCTTTAACGTGCGCAACTTGCTCACAGGACCTCCGAGATTATTCGCCGTTGTTCGAGAAGGTTAGGTGTTACGAGATCTTACTTATCAAAAGATCAGGGGTGTGAGTGAAAGACAGCTGTGAGAAAAGTGGAAAGCAGTGAGAAGGAGCCGAGGAGTAGCAAAGTAAGGCTGCAGAAAGAGTCAGGAGCCCAGCAGAAGAGGCAAAGGAGAGAGAGGAGGCAGAAAGTGGAGACGAAAGCAGACGGTAGAGCGTGGTAAAAGAGCAGGAAAGAAAGTGAAAGAAGAACATTTTTAGAGAAGAAAATTTTCCGTCGCTGTCCGGATTCGAACCCCCGACCCATTGTTTACTTTTTGTGTGTGTTTTTTTTGTGGTTAGTGTTTTACGGCACTCGCAACTGCATAAGGTCATATGAGCGTGCGGGACACTCCAAACATTTTCAATTAGTAGGAATTTTTTAATTTTGCCCGGGTGGCGGCCGAAGCCTACTTACATCGATTTTAGACCACCAAGGGATATTTAACGTGCGCAACTTGCACACGAGCCCTCCAAGATTTTTCGCCCTTGTCCGAGAAGGCTAGGTGTAGATCTTTCCTACCAGAAGATCAGGGCTGTGGCTGAAAGACAGCAGTAAGAAGGAGCCAAGGAGAAGCAGTAGAAGTGCTGCATAAAGAGCCAGGAGCCCAGAGCAGGGGCAAAGGAAGTGAGGGTGTGGGGACAGAAAGAGGAGACGAAAGCAGACGACAAAACTTTACTAGAGAGCAGGAAAGGAGGTGAAAGAAGACAATTTTAGAGAAGGAAATTTTTCGGTCGCTACCCGTATTTGAACCAGGGACCTTTGAATGAGAGGCCCACACATTAACTTCCAGGCCACGAGAGCCCCCCACCTACTGAATGAGAGGCAAACACCATAATCTCTAGACCACGAGAGCCCCCTTTTTTCAGTTTTATTGAATTGAAAGACATTGACATTGAAAACAAAGCTTGACTGCATAATCAGTTGGTGATGGTGGTGGCCGCGTAAATAAAAGTTCGCTATAAGTGTTGATCTCTCCCCCCCCCTTTTTTGTGTTATTGAACTCCTGAATTTTTTGTTGACACAAATTATGTGGTCAATTTGATTTTCAGTTTGTTGGTCTGGAGACACCCATATTGTTATGTGTATCTGTTTATGTGGAAAAACAGTTCCTCCGCTCAGGAGCCCATTTGTTGCACATATTTCCACAAATAGTTCTCCATTCTCGTTTCTGACTCCAATTTAAGTCCGTGTTTCCCCATAATTTCTTCAAGGCCTGCATTGTCACTGCCAATCTTTGCGTTGAAGTCTCCTATTACAATCAAGATGTACTTTCTTCGAACCTGATCAATAGTATTTTGTAGCATTCTTTTGAAAGTCTCTTTCACTTCATGGTACTTATCATTGGTGGGGCCATATCCCTGGATAACCTGTACATATGGTTCCCGGGGCCCTGTCAAAGAGACAGGGGAGCAAAGAATAGGACCACTATAACCGTACCGCGCGTGTCGTAGAAGGCGACTAAGGTCGGTTGGGCAAAGGGTTAGCAGCCCTTTTCCGTAAAACAAAAACAAAACAAAAAACAGTTACAAAAGCATCAACAGCAAAAACAACACGACCGCCAGTTGTGGAAGATGGAGGACCTTCACCTTCAAGTGTTGATAGACCTACATTAAAAGGAAGATGGTCGTTCATTTTCGTCCTTATATACAGTGCGCCCACATCAGTTTCTCTTGGAATTGAATATGCCTAATCCTACTGAATGCATTAGGACAGAAGTGAGTGAAGCCCCCCCCCCCCCCCTCCCTGAATCGGATGTAAATTGACGGGGGCACTTACTTTCCCAGTTAATTACCATAATACTGATTTTGCAGTTTGCCTAGGATAGCGCTAGGGATTGAACACAAAACCACTCGATCGCAACTTTGGCAGCCCGGCCTCAAGACATGGAAATCCTATGTTTAACTGCACTTCAGTGTATTTTATTAAATGTATTTAACTTAAGCGACTGCTGATCCACTCTGCCCCGATGCACAAAATTTTTTTCAGCTTTTGAACCGCACTTACTTAGGTTTGATCGAAACGTTATGACTTCACTAAATCATTGCTGCGCTCTGATCAAATTCACAATGTTGGCCAACGTAGCCAAGAAACGGATCCCTGGATAATAAGTGGAGTTCTACTTTAAGATAATAGTTTAGAAGTAATGTTCAAACCCCTGAGTCCGGGCAATAATATGCGAAAAGCTTTGGGCTATGTTATAGTGTCTGGGAATACAGTAAATAACTAAGCTCGTTTACGCGAATATGTTAATCAAACAGAATAACTCATTAAAAACAAGAACATTATAGACCAGTTTCAGAGAGCCAAATAATGAAATTGTGCCAACTTTGGATGAGGTTGAGCGGTGAACCAAGGGTGTGGGTTGAACGTGTTTTTGTTTTGTTGTTTTTTTAAAATCAAAATTCATACCTCGACAACATCTATTGATACGTTACTTTTTTTGTACTTACACGTCTTTAGAACCAAAAACAACAACAACAACAACAACAACAACAACAACAACAACAACAACAACAACAACAACAACAACAACAACAACATCAAACAATCTGTTCAGAACAAAAAGTTGTCAAAAATTCAAATACCAGCATAATCCAAATTTAAGTTTAAAAAAAACAAAACAAAAAACAAGTGGCTAGAATTATCTTGTGTAAGCCACATTCAAAGTGGCCAATTTAGATTATTTGTTTATCACTAGCACATAGAATGCGTTATCTATTCATCTTTCATTCAGTGCTCTTAATTTGACAGTTTTAAAATGTGTTTTTATCTGGAGTACATGTATCTTAATAAGGTGAAAATAAAGTAGAATAATGTTTGTACCCTCCCCCCCCCCTTTTCACCATTTCAAATCTCTTCGTAAAAAGCTTTTTTTTTTCAACTGGATTCATGGAACCCGTTTATGTTTCCCTACCCCCACCCCACCTACCCCTCAAACCTCCTCCACGAAAAATAACTCTTTATCATTTATTTTTATTTTTCGATTTCAAGATTATAGTACAGCAATGTTCCTGCAGTAAATTATGCAGTGGTCACGTCGCGTCTTGCGAATACACGTCATGTGTTGACCGAAACTTCCTTCCAATCCATTATTATTACTGGAGAACAAACAAAATGGCGAACGTGGTATTCGATACGTTGCCCACTTTCTTGGCAATTTTATTGTGTTTCTTCTTTGCTGTTTTATATGTTGGAAGTCTATATGTTTGGGGTGCAACGATAAAGGACAAAAGCAGGTTTGTTTGTAATATCAGGTTAAAGCAGTTTAGTTGCTTTCTTTTTGTTTTTCCCCTTTAGAAAAGTGAAGCCGGCACAATGCAACAACAGGACAGGGAGAAAACAGACAGTCGACAACAACACAGCAGACAACAGCACTAGATCTAGATTCTAGATCTAGAGATTATAGATATAGATATAGATATAGATCTAGATCTAGATTTCTACGTCTACATTTACATCTAGATTTAGATCAAGATAGATCTAGATATCTAGATCTAATGTTCAGTGCTTTTCCAATTATCCGCCATTTTTTAGTTGAAAGTGGCTATTCTCACCCGCCCGGAAGTTCTCGCAAGATCAACTCCTCCCCTCTTCTCTCTCTCTCTGTCTCTTTCTGAATACTGTCTATCGGTGTGGACGATCAAATTGACCAAAACAAAGTTTTAAAATGATGTTTAAACACAAAAGTAAATTAATTTGGTTGTCTACAAAGATGCTACGGCTATTTAACTTTTCGAATCGAGCCGAACTACGCCTACGCGGGTCACCATTTTGTTTTGCCCAAAAATTCTCGCGCTACTCCTCTCTCTCTTTCTCTCTCTCTCTCTCCACTGCCCACAGACAAAATTGTACGCTTTTAGTAGGCTACAGTTGTAATGGAACGTTTGTTCACGGCACAGAATTCTACAATTTTTCTGTTATCACAGTGTAGAATTCTGTGGTTTAGGGTGAACGCAAAATTTGGTGAACGCGCACCGGGTGAGAATAGCCACAAGACTCGCCTGCACTATTCTCACTCCGGGTGAGAATAGAGGTGGCCTTTTTTAGTTTCTCCCACACTTTATCTGCCGATCCGATTCCCGCCGCCTTATTGATATGCCCCCCCCCCCCACCCCCCATGTTTCCCACTTTTTTTGTTGTAGAAAAAGGTAAAATTGAAGATAAGCAGACCACCTGGCACCTGCATATTATGAGCTGTGTTAAAAAAAAAGACCGATTCGTTCAAATACACAAGCCTGTGTCATCTCGATTGTTTACCAAGAAGAAGTTGTGTTGCTGTGTAGAGCCGAGCATACGGCAACTTTTGATTCCATAGACCAGCGCACAATTCATACGTAGATCTACGTCAAGACTAGCCTTATTATTGTAATAATGATCAGTTGCCGGGGGGGGGGGGGGGGAGAGACTGACGCGTATGCGACGTTCAACGCTCGGACCGATAGTGACCCCCCTCCCCGACACGCACACACATCCTCACGTGTGCAGGCCGCCCATCCGACCCCGACACATGCTAACGAGCCATCTTTAATTGCTTCTGATGACCTCTTGACAAATAAACATTTATCAATTAGAAGCGCTATAACTTTTCAGGCCGGCCTCAAATTCATCATATAAGATAAAAACTCGGCTCCTGCACAATTTAACGCCATTTTGCCCGAAGTGATCCCGGTCTCTACCCAGCCTGAGGCGAGTCACGAGCGAGGCAGGACAGGAAGCCGGAGTCATGAGTCACAGGAAGTCGGAAGTGATGTCATGCTGGACAAGAATCAGAGTCCGAAAAACATTTTTTCATATTCGGACTCGAGTCCGAATAGTCACTTCGAATAATTTAAGGCACTGAAGATTCTCATCTGTCATGTATGGTTCGTTTGTAGAATCTTATTTCTATTGTACACCAGAATTCAAGCATAGAGCGCAGGCGAGCCTTTTGGCTATTCTCACCCGGTGTGCGTTCACCGTGATAGCTAGGCCTACCAGTGCAGCGTTCACCGTGAACCACAGAATTCTACTCTACTGTGATTATAACAGAAGTGTAGAATTCTCATTCTGGGTGATTTTGTAGTTTCGTTCGTTTAAGTCCCAAGAGTCAAGAGTAGGGGGGTTTCACTGACCTAATAAAAATACGGTGGGGGGGGGGGTTCTGGGGGCATGCCCCCCCTGAATTCTACTATAATTTTGATGTTTTGCAGTTTGGTTGCATCCCTGTTCTTTGTGCTGGTCGTCAAGACTTACGGATTTCTTCTCTGGATGTAAACAAATGGATTGTGGACTTTAACGAACGGAACTAAAAGATCACTTAATTCTGTGACGTGAACAAACGTTCCAGCTCTCTTGTGTTAAAAGCGAGCAATTTTGTCTGTGGGCAGTGAGAGAGAGGAGTAGCACGAGAACTTCCGGGCAAAACAAAACGGCGACCCGCGTAGTTCGGCTAGATTCGAAAAGTTAAATAGCCGTAACATCTTTGTAGACGACCAAATTAATTTACTTTTGTGTTTTAACATCATTTTTTATCTTTGTTTTGGTCAATTTGATCATCCACACCGATAGACAGTATTCCGAAAGACACAGAGAGAGAGAGAGGAGGAGTAGATCTTGCGAGAACTTCCGGGCAAAACAAAATGGCGACCCACGTAGTTCGGCTCGATTCGAAAAGGGAAATGGCCAGCTCTATTCGGACTCGAGTCCGAATATTATTTTTATCTATTCGGACTCGGGTCCGAAAAAAATGTTTTATTTATTCGGACTCGGCTTCTAAATGAGTCTTGTGAGTGTAAGGAGGTTACATACATTTATATAACCGTGGACGGGGGATTTTACGTAAAACAAAAATTAGAACTAGAATTGCCTACTAGGACTGTGTAATTGTGTCAAAAGTCAAAAGACTGCACTCTCATTAGGTCTACCCACTGGCAGTGTCTTAGTACACGGTGACTGACTACTCAGGGTCTTTCCACCACCACTACAGCATCATCATTACTCCCACCACATTTTGTCTTTCCACATGTTTAATTTCATTTTATTGTGTGTTATAGTTTTTCTGTAATTATTATTTCTTTTATCTCATTGCACTAAACCGACAGCCGTTGCCTCTTCCCCCAGCAAGCCGAGCGTGCGAGATCGTTACGCGCCATCTCATTGGTCGACATAATTGACTTTGCCCCCGGCAAGGTCAGCTCATCTTGATCGTTCTGTTCATACCAATGATGCAGGGAGAGCCAGTTTAGATATATGATCTAGATCTAGTAACTGGATATTAAAGCTCATGTCTAGACTGTTATCTTTATAATCGAAAAAAAAGTTCGTAAATGCTGGAAATATGTTCAAGGGTCGGAAGTCGGAATGAACGTCATGCTGGACTCAATTCAGAGTCCGAATATAATTTTTCTCTATTTGGACTCGAGTCCGAATAGTCACTTCGAAGTGAAATAGTTGTAGATAGTATCTTTGTAGACGATCAAATTAACTTGCTTTTGTGCTATAACGCCATTGTTTTCTTTGCTTTTGTCAAATTTCATCATCCACACCGATAGACAGTGTTCTTAAATTAGGAAAAACAGGTCTTGTTTCACACCGGGTGAGAATAGCCATCGCTGGCCAGTCTCACCTGGGATGAGAGGTCGATTGTATTTTTATTCTCACCGCGGGTGAGGATAGCGACTTCCATCTACTTTAGCTCATTAAATTCTTCAATTGGGGACTTCCGTAACGAGCGACCACTATTAAATCTAGATTATAAGGGGGCCTACTCAATGGCTTCCAAAATCATTTTGGAAGACCGAAACCACTGGTGTACCTTCTGTTCATGACAAAATTACGGTAGTTTGAGTTTGTGCATTTTAGGCCCAGTTCAAAGTTTTGACGGGGATACGGAATTTAACGTGCTAAAGTATAAGATCACCGGATTCAGTGCAGTAGTGTATTATTGTTGAGAACGAATTTCCATTGGGCCACCTCTAGATCTATTAACTATTCTCACCCCGGGTCAGAAATCAGAATAGCTCTCACCCGGTGTGCCTTCATTGTGATAGGCCAACCGGTGTAGTGTTCACCGTGAACAAACGTTCCAGCGCTCTTCTTGTGTTGAAAGCATGCAATTTTGTCTGTGGGCAGTGAGTGAGATAGAAAGAGAGAGAGGGGGGATAGAGAGAGAGAGAGAGGAGTAGCGCGAGAACTTCCGAGCTAAACAAAATGGCGACCCGTGTAGTTCGGCTCAATTCGAAAAGTTAAATAGCCGTAGCATCTTTGTAGACAACCAAAGTATTTTATTTTTGTGTTTTAACATAATTTTTTATCTTTGTTTTAGTCAGTTTGATCGTCCACACCGATAGACAGTATTCAGAAAGAGAGAGAGAAGGAGTAGATCTTGCGAGAACTTCCGGGCAGAACAAAATGGCGCCCCGCATAGTTTGGCTCTATTCGAAAGTGAAATAGCCATATATAGATCTAGCATCTTTGTGGATGATCAAATTAGAACTTTTGTAATATAACGTCATTTTTACTTTGTTTTATCTATCTGATCATCCACACCGATAGACAGTATTCCGCAATTAGGAAAAAGGGGTCTTGTTTCACCCCAGGGTGAGAGGTCGATCGTATTTTTATTCTCACCCGGGGTGAGGATAGCCACTTCCTTTCCCTAGAGAATATAAATTTTCTTGGTGCAATATAGCACGGACAACACACCAGAGATCTTATAATATTTTTGTGACAGTTGAGTGTGTACTATCAAAAGTGTAGCCTGCACTTAGTCATACATCTAGATATAGATTCTAGACTATCTAGATCTAGAATTACTGTAGATCTAGATTCCAAAGAGCGCCAAAAAGGGGACATGGGATGCAGGGGGTCTGCCCCCGGCCTAAATTCACAAAAATAATTGTTTGTGACAGTTTTTAGTGCCAAAATTGTTCTCAGCACACTAAAAAAGGTTAAATAGTTCCGAAAAATAGTCTAAAATGGGTGTGGGTCTTTTCTAAAAACTTACCCATGGCCTTTTCACCCTGACAACTCGATCAACGTTTTTACTTGACTATATTTTTGTTTCCCAATTTGTGTGTATAAATTTCTATGGAGTTAAGCCGGGACTACTTCTCCCGAAGAGTGCCTTGTTTTTAATCATTCTATAAGAAAAATAGAATGCAATTTATGCAAACTGCAAAAATGTATCAGTTCAAATCCAAAAAGAAGAGCAGCACGTCATTCTTAAAAAGAAAAAGACTCACAATGTACGGTACTCGCATTCATGCTAGAGTAGAAGGACACTTGTCGGAATATACACGGGAGCTTAAATGAGCACATGTCCGAATAGACGCAGCCTTAAGTAGTAAAAAAATTTTGACCGATTGTTTTTTGCTTCATATTTTCGTGTTCAAGGTGGATTGTGGTGCTTAAATTTAAGATCCTGCTACAATTTAAGCACAACTATGTGTACCACGTTTTCTTGACAGTTTTCTATAATTTTATTGCCTTTCTTTTAAAACTATCATTTTGAATCCACTCAAGCACAGAAACATCCTAGCCTTAGAGTAGAGATGAATTATTTTCTTACATTTATTTTTACTTTCGTTGCCGGCTGCGGTTCCCTCTTACTGCATGATCTATTGGAATTGGAATATGTCATACCATTTTTATATTAGTAGAGCTGAGTTTGGTAGTGTCTCTTCCTGAAGTGGTACTGTCACTCAATATATTAACTTCATGAAGTGGCGCACACAAGCATTTAAACACCGGCCAAAAATTAAATAGGAACTGTCTGATAGTTTTTTAAATTTAAATATTTGAATTTTTAGAATTATCATTGCACATTGAAAAACCCTATGTAAATGTCTACTTTTCACATGTTTGATCCTGCTAGTACTCCAGGTCTGAAAAGTAATAAAACTTCATGCACATGTTTCTAATGAACAAGTCAACTGTGTTCACAGAGATCATCCTGATGTCATAAAAAGAAGATTCTTGAGTGTTGCGTCTGTCTGTGCCATTGCTCCAGTCCTCCTGTGGACTGTTGCTTCCCCTTCTGATAAAGTTCATGTGAGTATTCTTGTGTAAATTCTCACTCTGCTTTTTGAAAAATTATTTTTGTATCGTAATTTCATTGAGGTTCTTTTCAGGTTTACTTCTATCTGTGTTGTTTCTTCTTTTTCTCGCTGGGATACACATTGCCTGGATGATATGAATTATGAAAAATCTTGATAAATAATCCTTGTCTGTCTTGCATGCTATATATTTTAGGTCAGCTCCACAGACATTGCGTGTGGTAAATTCAAGAACAGTCATATATCAAGTATAATGTGTACTGGCTAAGGAAGCTTTTTATCCTGTTTGTTAGCTTTGAAAAACTTTACTTTAAATAATAGAGTTCTAGGAAAAAGTGAGATCCAAATTCTTCCTTTTATACAACTTCTAGATCACCTCTAAGTCAAAAGTGGTTTGTTGTCGCAACACTCATTTTGTAAAATAGCTTTCCCATTATCCTGCACTGTAGTTTTCTTTGAATTTTTTTTTAACTTAAAAAAATTATCTTTGGTTTTCTATTCCAAGTCCTAAACGCTGATTTTGAGTTGTTTTATTTGTATTTCAGGCGAATACTTTGCTGGAGTGGCTTGGAATTCGTTTCTGGGGCTTTATTCCAGCATGCATAGTTCCTTTGTTCTTGACAATGGTAAGGTTTGAATGTGCTGGTAATATTTCTTCCTGATGTACCTTTTCATCAAGGAAGCTGCCAGATGCCATCTGGCAACTTCGTTGATAAATAAAAAAGAACTTTAGGAAGAGATCTTAAATAGTAATTAACATGCGTGGCATGTAACATTGTAACTACTTTCTGTAATCTGATTTTTGGAGTCAGAGTTAAGTTTGTATTTTCCATCAACTTTTTAAAAAATAGGTTGGAGGTTTCTATGAGAAGAGAAGTAGAACTCACTCTATTGTTTTTAACTTGTAGTCTGTCTGCTTTGACTAAAAAAAGTAATATTGTGGAAGTAATAAAATTATTTAAGAAACTTTTTAGTGGGCAGAAATTCACTGATTGTGTTCATCGTTAGATTCTTTTTCTTTTATTTGCATTATATAGCAACTGTTTATTTTACACTTCCTTTCCATAACTACTCACTTGCCTCTTAAATGAGAGTACTGTTTATTTAGGGGTGTTATACCTATACCATACTGTTCCGTACTGTTGACTATTAGCAATAAGGTTATCACTGTACAGTACAAATAAAATATCTCTGTCCTCAGGTGTTGTTCCTAGGGCCACTTTCTCTTCACTACTTGGATGGGGTGTTCAGCCTCTACTTAGGTAGGTGTTATGTTTGGTCACTTTGGACATGGATGAAGCTTCAATATGTCTTTTTGCCATTTTTCGGCTTCCTATGTAGTTCACAGCGCCGAATCAGCGGTCGTTTAGTTTCGCCAGGCTGTACGCTGCTTGGTCAGCTGCCGGTCAGTCTACCTGCACTCACTCCACGCTCGGAGTTACATACCACGGCAATTTTACACAGTTTTGTTTCAACGCTCACGAATGAAAGCAGGGTTATCAATATACACATAGTGTTCCATCTTTGAGTTTCTTCTTTCAATGTACAGTTTGTGAAAATGCAACGAAGATATCTAGTATAGTTTTTTAACTGCATGTGATCAAATACAGCCATTTTATATGTGGTAATTAAGGAAATATGCACCGAATTAAAAGTTATGTAACTACCAAAGTGCGGGAATAAACTCACTAAATCTCGCTCAGAATAAAGACACTTAATGTGGGTATCTACTTACCAAAGGACATCGTTGTTGGAAGATTAGTAATCCACATTTTTGCATTTTCGTTCAACAGCCAAATTCGTCGGGCTTGTGATGAAATTCTCATTACAGTACCCTTCATTAAATTCATGACACAGATCTCTTTACACATTTTGTACAGTAGATCTACGCTTATCTATGGCGCCGTGGTTGTTTTCTCGGTGCCTGCAGTGAAGATGCTCTCTGGAGCAAATTAATGTGCGTTCATAACGTATCATAGTTTTTACGTATTGTTTACGATGCCTTGAACCCACTTTTCAATTTTTAAAATAGACTGGTGGCAGCTTTCGGTTCCTTTTCTTCCAGCGGGCCCAAGCCAAAGCCGTGTTGTGTTATGGATGGAATGCAGTGTTGTTCTTAATTGCGCTGTTTGGGGATTTACTTTTTTGGAAAATGTTTTCTGTACAGCTTCATGTACGTGTCTATTGCTGTCTGAATTCCTGGAATAGAGGTTTTCGGAATAGGTGCACTGTGTGAGATGTCATTATGAATTTGACTGTATGCTTGGTTGAGAGAGTCGAAAATCAAACCTATAGTGTGCGCTTTGTCAACAATGATTGGATGATAAAATATCCCTTGGCAGTGACTCATATTATTAAGTCTGAGCGTTCTTATCAGCCTCTGTTGTACTTTAGTCACGTTCTTATTAAACGCGACAAAGTTCATTCAGAGAGGAGGAACGGGAACGTCTCCCGTGTGTGTGTTCCATACGGAGATTTCAGTAAACCTGTTAGAAATGAATCACGGGCAAATGGATTCTACCTCATATCGTAACACGGCTCAATCAACGAAGATGAAATTTATACACATTAAGCACAAATACGTCTGCCTTTCATAGAAACAACAATCTATTAAATTAACGGAGAAGTGTTGAACTTAAAACAGCATAGAATCCAGTGTACACAATTGCACGGGTCAATTAAAAAGGCACTGGATGAGAATCAGATGTAAGCGACTTATATTGCAATAACTATTCTTCAAACAATGATGAAAATTATACACGTAAAGCACAGATATGTCATCAGTGCATGTACCAAAATTTGTTGAGATTGACCGAGCACTTTGGAAATTAAAAGTGAATTAAGTGCAGCACACACAGATTACATTATATGAAAATTAGAACATTTTGCACACACTGTAGCATCGGCACATATCGTCGCATTGAGATCGGGTTTTCGCTGACTGAGAGGGGGAATCTTGCTCTTTTCTTATTGCATGGAATAATTTGTGGTTAGAGTGAGGATACTGCCGATAATTAGTGTCAAAAGTGTCGATTACGCCATGACCTGCCCGCCTGTAGCTGATGTGCAACGGAGCGGCCAGTGACCCCCGCGTAACCCGGCACGGAGCGGTTCCGACGGTGATTTAATGACTTCCAGATGTCGCTGGCCTGGGAAACTAAGAGGCACGATTTCGGCCAGTTTTCGGCGCTGTGAGTTAACAATTCCAGTGCTCTTGATGAAACGTTTTTAACTTTTGGAACATTTTTAGCATTTTAAGTACTTTAGACTTGGGTTGCCAAAGTACTGTTGAAATTGTTTAAGACAGACAGCCATTGTTGAGGAGAAAAGTGGCCGTCTTAAACAGGTGACCATCTTACACCGTGTTATTATAATGTAAAATAATATGGCGGGGGGGGGGGGGGGGGGTCGCTGTTTGTACAAGTGATTGTTTTAACAGGTGACTGTTAGAGCAGGTTTGCCGTACACATTCTTTTACTGATCATCCTAGAGGATTCTAGATATTCTGGTATTTTAGATGTAAGGTGCTTTCTGCTCATGCTTACGGACCTGGTTTGATCCTAGCTACACATTGAAATGATCAGTGGATGACTTCAGGGTTTCTTTTATCAGGTTTTTGACAGCCCTGATCTCAGATATAAGTGGCAGGAGAAATTAATCATTATCTAAAACAGAAGAGATTTTTCGTTTGTGTAAATAATCCAGAGTACTTCAGAAAATGTCATGTAGCTGTCTGAAAGGTGAGGGACAAAACACTAGAATAGGAACATATCGTCAGCCAGCTGTTCAGATGTACTAAGCACAAAATTTTGAAATTTATTTGTATCTGTTGCATGGGCTTAAGAAATGTTTTGTCCAAATTCAAATTCTATATCATGAAAGAAAAAGGAAGAAAAAATACAAAAGGTAGGTATAATTTTTAATAGACTGAAATAGTGTTTAATTCTCTCTCATGAAAAATTTTGCTTTCATTCCTTACATTTGAACTGCTTCTACGATATAACGCATTGTTTGAAGAGCGTACAGTCTGAGGTCCAGGGGGGATGGGTTTATGTAAATACAAATGAGTGTGTGGTCTCTCTGTTTCCCAAGATTTTTTGTGCAATAACTGCAGCAATATTTATATATGTGAAGCGCGCTGACAAAATGAGTTACTTCTCGGATTCAAGCCTTAAGGAAATAGAAACATCATGCTTGTAGGTGAAGTTTTTACAATTTATAAGTATGAAATAATAGAAGACAGGTTATAGTTAAAGAATGTGGCATCAATAGATGTTCTACAAATTTGACTCTAATGTCGATTTTTGGCCACTATCTCCTTTTGTGGATTGCGAGAAGTAACTCATTTTGTCAGCATGCCTCACATATCTTAATAATTGAGTAGACACTCAAGGATTTTGTTTCCTGTCTTTGTTGTCGTAGCGTTTTACACTATTCACCTTTTCATGCTTTCTTACTCATTTACCACTTTGATTAATGTTAGCAGTCACTTCGAAAGATGGAAATGTGTATTTAAGTTTTCCTGTATGTTTTAAATAATGCAATTTGTCTCATATATTTCAGAATCAAAATACTGGACAAATTCTGTTAAAAACTATGTGTGGCTCAGGAATCACATTGTGGTAAGGGGGATGAGATCTTTCTCTTGAGTAGTGTACTACTAAGATGAATAATATGCTTTGTTGAAGTAGAACTTGCTCCTGCTGTTTTAAACGTTTTTTTTATCATCTGTTTACTTTTCTGTCATAAGTCTTGTGTTGTGCTTGCAGCTGGTGACCTTGTTAGTGTTGTTTTTTTTATTCTAATCTAACTTTGTGCAGTGAAACAGAAGAATAACTTTGTTAAAAAGTCATCCAAATGAACCAAAAGAATAAGAAAGAAACGATTTTTAGTGAACCCTAGAGACAGATTTGTTTGAAAAGGGCAAGGATGGTGACAACAATAATAATGATTGATATTTGACATACTACAGAGCTACTCCCCCCCCCCCCCCCCCTGGGGCAGTGCTACTAACTGAAGTGTCTTTAGGCCGTTCCCAAAGGGAGGACATTAACCATGTTCTTATGCACAGTAGAATTGTAATTGTAAATGGGCTGATTCATCAATGCCATGCTCATAACTGTGCCTGAACTGCGACAGGGAATTGCTGCTTTTTCTTTCCTTATCTTTACTATCGTAATTTAGCTCTACTTCTTTTGTGTACTTTTCACACTCTTGTGACCCGCTATTTCCGGGGTACCTTGATAGTCGAAGCAGACTTTGTGCTGTTGAAGCTAAAGAGGTGAGCAGAGTAAGCATGATTCCCTGTAAGGACTTCTCTGTTGACGTCCACCCCTTGGTGCTCATATGACCTTACACAGTTGTGAGCGGCGTTAAACCTCTACTAAAACAAACAATACTAAAGAGCAGCAGCAGTGACTTGTATATGACATGCTAAACAGCATTGACAATAATAATGACCCTACACTTGTGACATAAATAAAATGTAACAACAAAAGTGACAAGTAAGAGACATGATGTACAGTGCTGATGCTGATGTCCGCTGTGCGATATTGGGATTTTTGCTGTCTAGTCAAGGACACAGCACGATGGTCACCCTCCCTGAAATTTGTCACTGTCAGACATTACTTGTTAATAACTATGTGTTGCCTTATCACTCGAATGTTGGAATTTTTAGTTAATTTCCCTTTCTTCCAAGTTAGCAGTGCTTCATATAAAAGATATAATAAATTGTGATAAAATGTCACATCTTTTGTTCTTTAACGTGTTAACGATGACATGCGCAAAAGCAAACAAGTCATGTTATAAGTGCATAGGAAACAAAAAATCATCACTCATTCAATGAAACACGTGTACATTGTCATGTGAAGTACCCTATTTTTAAGCTAAGATCAAATTGCTTTTCTTAAGGACTCCCCCTGGCGGGTACTAATCCCATAGCCCTTGTCATTTGATGTTGCGAATAATTCTTGAGCTATCGAGTTCACTCATCCACTTGATTTTGTCAGTAGAGCTGGAAATGCACCCACATAGTATACAGTACAAGAAATACTTAAGACTAAGCCTGTACTGTGTTGACATGTCCTATTCTTCTTGCATTTACAATCATTCCTTTCTTGTTTTCTTTCTCCACATCTCTTGATATCGTATTACCTTATCGGCTGTTCAGTGTAAAACTCCGTCATATATCATTTCTCATAATGGTGTATGGCACAGAGTCTTACACTGAGCTGTAGTTAAGCAGACAAATGAACAAACTGGCTCTATCTATTACATAGCAGTAGTGCGAGTCATAAACAGTAGTTCTCATGTGCATAAATGTTGAGTTTAGGTCTGTGAATTTTTGTGATATTAAATGTTTTCTTTGGATTGATTTTCAAAAATGAATTGAAAGCGCAGTTCAAGTCTTTAATGTCTCATTTTTAACACTTTCTCATGATTGTTTTCACTTTTTTTTGAAAACTTGCACATGTTTGTTTCAGGCTCCTTTGTCAGAAGAGTTTATATTTCGGGCGTGTATGCTGCCTGTCTTGTTACCGAGACTTGGAGAAGGCTGGTCTATTTTGCTGTGCCCTTTGTTTTTTGGAGTTGGTAGGTTTTTTTACACTCTGGAACACTGCTTTTCCTTTTTTTCCTTTTGTACTCAAGGAGAGTCAACTTTTTTTCCGACAGCCAAATCGTTAGGTATTTTTCGGAACTGAGATTTAGATTTTTAAAAAGAGAATTAGAGATACTGAGAGCTTGTCCTCTGCTCTCTGATTAAATCGTATTCTTTGAATGAGTTGTTGTATGAGTATCTTTTTCTTGTATTTCTACTTCAGGTGCTCAATGTGTCTCTACGGTTATTTATAGCCTCTGGCTCTTGACAATCCCAAAGAGGGAATTTTGCTAGATACTAGTCTTAAGCTGGCATTCCATATGCCCGAAAAACCGATGCGAACTTCGGGTGCGAATTTCGTACACGAAATTCGCGTGCGATGAAAAAAGAGCCCTCCTTCCATATACCCGAAATTAGTATCCGTCATCTGACTGAAATCACGACACCAATTCAGTCAGAGCAAGCACTCTACGTTGAAAACGAGAGAATTTTGCTGTTAGAACTCCTGTTCCTACGAACGCAGGCTTTAAATTACTTTGTCCAGACTTGATGATGGCCTTTCCTTCATAAGCTTTGCTTTCTTGGGTCGTTTTCTTTTCGAAACTTCGGTCCTATCACCGACAGCGCTGGCCGATGTGGCTGCGGCACAGACAGCAATCTTAAGTTATAATTAATGTATGTAAGAAGTTGTATTCAAGTGCATTTAAGGGGGGGGGGGGGTAAGTTACCTAGTGCTTCTATGCAGCTTTGTTCTTTTGAAGTAGATTTGGCGGGAAATAAGCCCCGCCCACTTCACGGAGAATTCGGGTGCCGAAGAAAAAAGTTTCGCTCCCTCGTGCGAAACGAAATCTTCGCATGCGAATTTCGGATATGCCCTGCGGAATTCCGGTATATGGATTTACACAATGACAAAAAGGTTGGCGCGAAAAATATAGTTCGCACCCGAAATTCGCATCGGTTTTTCGGGCATATGGAATGTCAGCTTTAAGCAAGTAAAAGACCTATCTCAACTGTGATCTCACTTCTTCTTTTTGTATCAGGGACTTGTACATGAGGGTTTGTTTAGTGAACTGTTGCATGAAATTGTAGAAATTGTCTTTGCCAGTATGCTACACATTTGAACTTTATGTCTGTTTTGTTATTTTCAGCACATTTCCATCACATGATAGAGAAAGTTGTACATTCACAGCAAGATGTATCTGAAGCTTTCAAGCAGTCGTGTAAGTGATCTGGTATGGCTGGACCAGGTTTAATTCTTTGGGATTGGGAGGAAAATATTGTCTTATTTTTATCAGTTTTTGTTACAATTGTGTTAACAAGCAACAGGAAGATTGTTTTTTGAAGTCAAGGTACAAAGTTACCAATTTTGTTGTTTCCCCTCTTTATTCTCTCACTTTGAATCTTTTTCATATTTTCATTGCTGATTTTATATGGGCTAAGTTTTTTCATTTAGGGATTGGCTCACTGTGCATGTTCACTAAAAGGAGGGGAGGTGGGGGTGATTGATTGAAAAATAACGGAGGACTTTCAAATAATTGTCAAAATAATCAATATGACAGATATCTGTGCCATTACCTTGTTGACCCAAAGTCAAACCGGAAAAGTATTTGTGTGGTTCTGTTCTTAACAATGATATTGGCAGTTCTATTTTATGAAAGTTGTGTTATTTCAGTATAAGTGGGTTTTTGTAATTTGAGTACAGCATTCACTATGCCTTTAAAAAAAAATTTATTTCAGTGTTTCAGCTGGGATACACAACAGTGTTTGGAGCTTACTCTGCTTTCTTGTTCTTGAGAACTGGTAAGCTAGAAAATTGTTTCCTTTGTGTTTTATACAGTACCATACGTACTCAATACAAATACTATAGGATCTATGATTGATTAATGAGACCAGTTTTGATCAGCCTCATAATACAAGTATGTAAAGCTGCTTTTTTATTGTTTTGTTTTTTTCTTTTTACCATGTAGGGTAGTTTCCGTAGCTTCAGATTACAGTAAACCCATTCATGGAGAGTGTTACATATTGATACTCTTGTCATCTTTACATGCTGCAGGGTTTTTTCATGACAACTACACAGTAACCCAGTAGTGTATATTTTCAGATATGCTCGTTTTGATCAAATGCATGAAAACTCCTACCTCTTGTCAAAATATTTGTAAGTGAACTCTGTTGTCGGAAACATATTTTAGTTTTTTTAATCAATCTTGTTTGATGTCTTTCCTGATTCCTTTCCTGAATTTTTATTTGAAAATAAGATTGACTTTTTAGTCTGCAATTTTTTGTTTTTAGCTATGAGAGGAAAAAATTATGCTTTTTTATGAAAAAATGTATGACTATGTTAGGCCAGGGCAACATCGTAGTCAAGATATGCTGAGTATATACTCAAATTAAATGGCTGAATTTCCCATTTTTCATGCTTAGTCATATGCAGTTGGTGTTACACTTGCCTCAAAATAATAAAAGTGGGTGCTCTGGTGTGGTTTGTTCCTTCTTTCCTATAAAAAATCTATCGTCTTTATCTCCCCTCCTTTTTTTGTGTTTGTTACTCTCTTTTAACACCTAATCTTCGACACTTATATGACTTTATTGTAGGTACCGCAAACTGGCCGTGCGCCCCCGTGGCGCACTGTCACGGAGACCAAAACCCATATTTTTACCCTCCTAAAACACTGTGTGATCATGCATACACACAGACACTTGATATATCAGAAGAAAGAGGAGCTTTTCCTCTTTTTAGTGGTATTATTTATTTGAATCAACAATTCTTTTGAAAGCAAAATCTGGCGGGATAAAAGACAATACTATCGACGTTTTCACTGTCGCGGCCGCATGTTTCGTGTATTGATTTTTAGAGTGACCTTGGTTGAACAGGAATTGGGAGCGTATGGTATTAAATACTGCAATCTGATTCGTCGATATTCAAGATGAGAAGACACTCTTTCTGGTGATATATTTCTAAAGACTGTCCTTAAAGAATTAATAGAAGAGATTTGCGTGTGAAAACTTTCTGGGCTGTTTTTTTTATGGAACCAGTGATCGGACTGACTACGGAAATATATCGGCATATAAAGCCCATTCATTCCTCTTCAAGAATAACACAGCCATTATAAGCAAATAAACACCGGACGCTCCCCGTCGGCTCGCAAGCAGGGCACCATCGCCCTGGTTTCGTATAAATTCTCTCTCCTTCCCTTCAGCACGGCCCGGCGCGCAGCCGATAAGCCGGCGGTCGCGAGTGGTGATTTTAACCTCCCCTTGTATTTTTTGCCGTTTTGGTCAAAAAACCATGTTTGCATCAATAAATTTCCATCTTCTAGTTATTTGATAGCCCTGAAAAAAATTGAGCTTGTTCTCTATGTGCATAGGTGTGTGTCTATAAGTTTTGGTGAATGTCCATTCAAAATTAAGAATGTTGTGACATCTCAAAGTGTAGACATTTCGCAATTAAAAAACTATGACATTTTTCTGCAACTTCAGATGTTCATAACTTTGTTAAAAATGAAGCTATATATATATATATATATATATATATATATATATATATATATATATATATATATATATATATATATTTGGTATCGAAATGCTCAGAATGATAAGTTCTATAAGGTAGTGCAGTTAACTATGAAATCAGAAGACTGAAATTTCAGTTTGTGGTACCTACTTATTGTGTTGCGCAAGTTCCGTAAAACTTTTACTAAAACTAAAAAATAATATAATAAAATGGTTACTAGTTCTAGTCACGATGCACTAACAATTTTTCATCGTTAACGTCTCGCTTTAGTTATGCTTTCAGTTTAATCTCTTTTTCCTTTTGAATTCTTTTCAGTTGCAGGATTTCTTACCATTTCAGAATTTGAATACCGTTTGAAGTTTTCTTGCAATGTTTGTCATTTTTTTCTGTTCCTGCCATCTTTCCCATCCAGGCCATTTAATGGCGCCCGTCATCGCTCATGCTTTCTGCAACCACATGGGCTTCCCATCCTTTGGTGAGGTGATGGGCTACCCAAGCCCGACTCGGCACCGCTTGATTGCGCTGTTTGTGCTGGGCCTTGTCTCCTGGCTGCTACTCTTGTACCCACTGACGAGCCCCTTGTTGTATTCCAATGATGTGTATGTGTTATGAGCTGATTACACCGAGTTTGTCCCAAGACTTTGTTACTTTTTAAGACAGGGATTTGGTTGGATCACGTCTTGTTTTCTTTAAAGATGAAGTAGATTTTTGTGTGGAGATTGAAGTGTGAACTGTACTTAAGTTTCAAGTTTGTAGATCAAAAATTTGTTTTCTTATATATTATGTTTTATTTTAGCATTTAGATAATAAGATTTTAAAGGGATATTTGCAATTATTGATATTCATTGTGTTTTATTGTAGCATCTAGCTCATTAGGTTTTAAAAGGGTATTCGCCGTTATTTTGGCAAAGGTTTTTGTAATGGGAGTTTGTGAATTTTTATTTTATTATTTTTTTTCTAACTTTATTTTGGGGTTTAGTTAGAGTTGTTTGTTGGGGGTTGGCGTGTTTTTTGGCTCATTGTTTTGTCATCTCAAGATTGAAATTGTAAGAGTGGATTTTTGGATTGTGTGGGAGTTTATTTGTTTTGTATTGTTGGATTTTTAAGGCAACCAACTGTAAAAAAAAAACTCTCTTCTCTTCACAACTGTATGATGGTGCATTAACTTATGCATAATCTTTTATATTTTGGGGTTCTCTCATTGACAGTGAGACCAGTGGACATGACCATACCATGTACATATTGTCTAGTTCTATACAGCTGTACCAGTTTTTATAACTGGTTATTTAATCACTCTGCTCTAGTCATGTGATTTCTTTTATTTCCATTGTATATGCATTTGTATGTTCTAGGAAATTGTTTGTGTATGACAATGTGATTAAAAGAGGTATGGGCTCTAGGGAGAATGATAATTTGATAGGGATGGAGGTGTGTTAAAGAACAGATTTTCAGAGATGAGCGTCGCTAGCTTAATATTTGAAATTTTAAGAAGTGCAGAAATTAGCCACAAGAGCTCAAACCTCATAAGAGACTGAAAATAAATATGGGAATTCTAAAGGGAGCAAGGTGTGCTCAGGCTTTTACTAAGTTTAGGTTTTGAAATTTGTACATACATCTTACTCCCTCAGCTGAATATAAATGTTTTGCATGTTTGGTCTATTTTGGTTATGATTAAATAACCTATGCTGTTCTTTCTCTAAACTGTTTGTTCATTTATTTAAAGCTCTTTTGTGTCAAGTTAAATGTATTCTAGGATGTATTGATTGTTCACTTAAATTCCTGCATTGGCATCTGTGGTGTAGCAGTTAGGGAGAAAATTTGAATAGAATATCTCAGTTTTTCAGCTGGGATGCTGTATCCCTCTTTATAAATTGGGGTTGGCCTTGACAGACATGGTAGGAAGCCTGCCTCCCAAATGATCGAAATTGTGTTTTGGTGAGGGTATTAAGAGCACTTACACGGAGAGAGAAAAAAGTGGGTGGCCCTGGTTCATATTCTGAATGGGGTGTTCTTGAACTTGAGTTGGTTTGGGAGTTTTCATGACTTTCATCCCACATGGTGCCGCCCGTCAGTGATGGACAATAAATCTGAATATCCCCCTCCTTGATTACAGTTACTGCTTAAAAGGGCGATATACCCACACCATGCAAAACATGATCTACTGGTCCTTGATATTTCATGGACCTCAGAATTTGTAAATTAATTGAGTCACATCTACAAATGTGTATGTTCTTTGTACTGGTTCTTGTGATAGTTCTTTCATTAGAATAATCAAGTTGTCTTTTTATCGTGCCTTTCATAAATATTGCTCTTTAGCAGTTTAGCGTAAAAGTTCAGTTGAATGAACAGATGCATGTTCTAGTTAAAAAGTTCAGTTTTGCTGAATGCTAAAATATTTTTGTTACAGTGCAGTGAAATCAGGCTATCGTCAGATTTTGGGCATTTATATAATTATTGGTGTTTTCTTAAAGCTTTTTCATTTATCTAGCTCTATATGAAAAAAATATCCATCTATCTTGAATGGAAGTTGAGATACTTGTAATTCAAGGAGGTGGGGGTCACTTGGTGTCAGGTAATATTAGCGGAAAAATGACTGTCAAAGTTTACTGACTTCCAAAACTTGAGTGCCCTTGGAAATGACAAATTTACATTTTTTTTGTACCTTTAATAGACATTTTTCAGTAAATTCTCGCACTGAAATGTATTTATAAATGGACATGTAAGGCGTTGAGCTAAAAATGAAACATCAATAAAAATTGCCTTACACTAACAGGCACAAAAAGGCTGATTTCTTTGCTTTCATTATTTTGACGAACGCCTGATTTCACCACATTATGACAGATTTATTCTTTACTTCATTGGGTGTCAGCTCAGGGAATAATTTGATCTGACAGATTTCCATAGGACTTCCTAAAGTTTTCAGCAGCTTGTGTGTGTGTGTGTGTGTGTGTTTGTGTGTGTGTGTGTGAATGTGTTGATTGAGGAAGTGTTTATTGAAATATGTACTATGGCCATTAGTCTCTTCCAGTCTGTTTTTAAGGGCCATTCTTCATTGATTAGCTTTTTGTTCTTCTCCTTTCCATCCTCAGTTTTTAAACTGAAAAGACCTCTCTCAATGCTCCACAAGTTCATTGATTGATTAAGGTCTTTAAGTGAAATTTGTGAAAAAGATAGTACACTACTGTTATTTCCCTTTCTTAAGCAACATTTTTTTTTCCATTCTGATTGCAGCTTTCTCTTCATCATAGCTTATTTAAAGAATTGTAAACATTGACGAATAAAAATGTTTCCTTCCTTTTGTAAGTCTGTAAACATTGACAAATAAAAATGTTTCCTTCCTTTTGTAAGTTTGTAGTAGAACTTTATGGAAGTTAGTTGGATGTTTACTGGTGCTGAGGGTAAGTTCAAATTTACATAGAGATTCCTCATCGTCACTGTTTGGGCAAAGTGTCCTGTGTAAATGCATTGAAGTCACCTGGTTGCCTGTCCTTGTACCATGACCTCATCAAGTTTAGCTGCTGATCAACAAAATTATTTTAATCTGCTGCTCTCCTTCTTTCTTATAGTTACTGACACAGAGTTAAAAGTCTTCTAATTTAAGTCAGCTTTTACAAAGTTCAGTTTTCACAGTTGCAATTTGCAAAGACGATCTATTATTAAGAAGCTAGCTACAACTGGTGTGCATCCCGCATATTTTCAGTATGAGGGGCTGTGGGAAAATCAGTTGGAAGATGCCTAAGGTTGTGTTTGTTTGTTTTTTAAATTTAGATATTATATTAAAGGTAAAGCTAGAACTTTATCTCTGTTGCAAGCAAAGTTTTATGAAAAATGCAAAGATGAACCCTATTTTAATTTTTATTTCACAAATGCTATTTAAGATTATACATGTTTTCACATATAATTTTGATGACATGCAGAAGAAAATTTTGCTAAAAGTAGAAGCTATTGCTCCTGGAGATAGACACTAATTTTCATACGGACCACACACACACACGCGCGCGCGCGTGCGCACACACACCCCTTAACATACCAGCTGAAAGAGAATTTTCCCACCCTTCCAGGGGAAACTCTGTGCACAAGATTGTAACAACAGTAGAGTCAAGGCTGGTTATTTGATTCTCAATCGGTAGACAGTATTGGTCAATTGTTTGAAACTAAATGTTTTAAATACCAAGTGCAAATAACATGGATCCTGCTTGCAGTCTAAATGGAAAAAAAGGGAAAGTTAAAATATCGCAAATGACCCATTTTGTCTCAAGGCCCTCCATGTTTATATAAATACTAGCTGGGCCCTCTTTCGATGAAAGGAATGATCGGTGCATTAATGTCAACTAAAAGTCATTGGCCTACTGTATTAATTTACACTCTACTGGAAAGGAGCAATAAAAAAAGCGATGATGGGCATCAAACGAAAGGATCACAGTCGAATTTAGCACCAAGTAAAAAAAAAAAGAAAACATGAGGCTAGATCTATACGGGCAAAGAGTCAACATAATATGTACTGTCTTTGATACGGGTTGCACACTTAAAATAGTGCTTGGTATTGCGCGTCAATGCACTATAGTATCGAACGGAAGTACGACTTGAAATAAACAAATCTGGCGGATTTTCTAAAATTACAGAGACAGAAGTGTCAGCCTACAAAAGCGATTGGCGAAATAAAGAAATTTAGCTTTCTGCAGCTAAACTGTCTCAAAACTAAAAACGAAGGGCGTCATGATCTGGAGAATATTTTAAAGAATCTTTTGACGTAAACAGCATGTCGATCAATGCAGTCATTAAAAAGCCTTTTGAATAGCAAAATTCAGCCACCACAAATAGATAATAGATGCCAGTGTGTATAATGTACAGTCGAACCTGTGTAAGACAGACTCGCAAGGGAGCCAGAAAAAAAATTACGTCTTAGGGGAATTTAGGGGAGGGTGGAGGGGGTCCAAAAGCCCAGCCGGTGGGATCAAGGATTGCTTGTCTGATCGGCAAGCAGTAGTCAAAACTTCACACCTCTCAATTTCTATCCTCTCTGATAATGACATGCGTAGAAACATTTGAACATCTCCTTTGCTTCCTCCCTTAGGCCCACCTATCGGTGTTACAAGCACAGTCACACCAATGCAACCCCTCACTGCCATCATGTAACAACGATTCGAGGAACTCTTTTCTCGGCCGGCCGTACTATGGCGGCAGGCATTGGTCAATCTAATTTCACACCTCTGGCTTCTAGCTACTCAGGAAAGTTTCTGTAGCGGCTCGATACTCGAACACTTTCATGGACAGTCGTGAGATATAACGCCCACACCAGGAACGTTTTAAAAGTTTAAGAGAAGGAAAGATGGTGAAATTAAGGAGAAAATTTTTAGAGAAGAAAATGTTCCATCGCTGTCAGATTTCAAACCCGGGAGGTATTGAAAAAGAGGCAAACACCATAACCTCTAGACCACGAGAGCCCCCATAGTCAGTTTGGCATTCTTCAGAATTTTGAATCAGCTATATGAATATGAGTCTGTGTAGCATTTTTCTTTGGGGGAAGGAGTAGGTTTTGTTTTGTTTAGTGTTTTGGGTTTGTTTTTGCACTGTTTCCAGTATTGTCCACTCTGGCCACATTCCTCTTGGGATATGTACCATACTTGGGGCCAAAGACTCGTGTTCCTTTAGTTTGCTTTGATAAGTAGTAATGCTTTTGTGATTCATGTGTGCGAGTGTGTGTATGTTTGCATCCTAGAGCTTGCTGACAAAAGATCTAGCAGGCAGCTTGTCATGTATAGTATAGCTGATCTAATGAGGACGCTTTAGTTCTTAACGACTTACTTCCAGATTTGAGTGATATAATGTATGTGTGTGCTACTCTTGAGTTAATTAATTATCTCCCCTTTCATACACATACACACATGCGAGCAACTACATACATGCGTACGTGCACTCACACACACACTCCGCACACACACACACACATGTACGTACAATACGCACATACTCAAAGTACACACACACATATAAACTGACATACCTACATATTGCACACACACGCGCGCACACACACACACACACCACATGCAGTTGCAGCAGAATGGGTTTGAAGGTAAAGAATACTTTATTTAGGAGCACAACGGCAGGAGCTTTAAGCAATTAAGCAGAGATGGAGCTTAATCTCTTGAATGTTCCTATTTTTGTTCTACATGCGTGTTGGTATGATATTGTCTCTTTCTTCTTTACTTTTACCTCTGAACCAAGTGTTCTGCCTTTGAGGTGACATCAATGTGTCCAGTAAGACTCATGACTCATGCGAAATGTAATGAAATCAGTGATCATGCACAAGAGCTGTGCCTCCTATTCCACTTAACTTCTCGACATTCAAGACTTTTGTGCTGTTCACAGCTGTTCGAAGCATGGCAGAGCCATTTGAATGCTGTGTGATTTTTGCGGATAATGGATATTTGTCTCATTTTCTCAACTCGTAGTAAAATTAAAGCGTGTGTATCATCGAGAAGTATACAGCAATATCGTGTACTTGATTGTTATTAGACAGAGTGATAATAAATGGTGTCAAGAAGAGTCATAAAACATGCATCCTAAGACGTATTCACTAATATTCAATAATCACTAGTCACTAGTCACACCATGATAAGATCAGGGGCGCATAACAACTCTCAAAGGGCTGCGGGTGTTTTTGCAAGAAATTGATTGGTGCTATGAGCTCATCTTCCCCTTATTGAAATTTGAAGCTTTATAATCCATGTTGGGACATCAATTTATTGCAATGTGTGTGTGTGTGGAATCACAAATTTAGAGAATACTATTGTGAACTGATGGACGAAAACATAAGAAAAAAACATTCACACAAGGTATTTTTGAATAGCTTCGAAGCTTCCATGAAATTTCACTTCTGAAAAATTGCACAGCATTATCACACACTGTATATATATGTTTTGGTGGACCAAACCAGATTGCAAACGTTATCGAGGAATGACTTCCCTGTCGTATGAATAAGTTCAGTCTGATAGAAGATTTGCTTCAACTACTTTTATGATGACATCCACAGCGGTCTGCGACTGCATTGATGTTTGTGTCTGTTTTAAGTTTGTCTCTCTATTTGGTTATTATACAGAATACATACAATTTCACTGGATTATGTGCTTCATTTAAAGGCAGTGTATCTCACACATGTATAATGTACGTAATATCCATGGATTACATGCTTTACTGAAAGGCAGTACACCAAACACATAATACAAAGTGTCACTGGAATATGTGCTTCATTGAAAGGCAGTGTGTACCAAACACGTATATATATGTATAATATATTGTCACATAATATGTGCTTCATTGAAGGCAGTGTGTACCAAACACATGTATATGTATCTATTGTCTCGAATATGTGCTTCATTGGAAGGCAGTACAGCAAATGTATTGATATTATGTATGTATCACAGGACTACTTCCATCATTGAAAGGCAGTATACCAAATGCATACTTATACTTATGTATGTTACTGGATTGTGTACCAAACATGTACATACATGTGTGTCCATGAAATCCATGCTTCATTGAAAGACAATTTGCCAGGTCAAACATACTACATATGTATAATATGTATTATGTGTGTATATATATATAGATACATACAAACTCTTGATTATGAGCTTTTTTGAAAGTGTGTATACCATACACATACGTATATGATGTCACTGAATTGTGTACTGCAATAAAAGGCAATATGCCGCACACGTACTGTACATGCACGTACATCTCAAGATTACCTGTTTCACTGAAATGCAGTAGATGCACAGGGACTTTACTTTCATGCTAGCAGTGAATTTATTTTGTTTTCCCTCTTCTTTCCTCTCATTAGAAAACATATGAAATTATCTGTCCTCAGAGAAAGTTGCATTTGAAAATAGCAAAAGTTGCAAAAAGTTGCAAGAAAAATCAACAAAAGTTGCAAGAAAAGTTGCAAGACGTGTATAGCTAAAATGCCAGGGAATTATTGGAATACATTGTTGGTATGCCCATTGCAATCAAAGTAACCAACGTGAGTTTTGTTAGATCAAAATCAAAAGTTAAATGTGAATGTCTACCGTATAAAAAAAACAACCACCCAACTGCATGGAGGTTGCATAGTTAACTTGTGTCAGGTCCTTAAACTTAAACTCCCGCTGACGTTGGGCATGTGTGACCAGCGTGGTTTTGGGGCTGTTCAAATATAATCGTACACCTTTTGGGGGATTTTTACCCCCCCCCCCCACTTTTCTTACATTTTCCTCCTCTCCTCCCCCCCCCCCCCCCAAATCCCGTAATACTAATATTTATTCGCTTTAACTTTAAATAATATGACATTTATATTGCGC